CCGGCGGCCGGGGGCAGCTCGCACAGACCCGGCCTGGCTCGGCAGGGCCTGCCCTTCCTGCCACGCTCCGCGCTGCCGGGGCGGACGCAGGTCCCTGTCCCCGTCCCGGGCGCTCCCCGGCTGCAGGGGGCTCGTGCAGGGCTCCGTGGCCTCCTCTGCTGCAGCCAGCCCTGCCCTTGGCCTTTGGGGCTGTCTCCTGGGCTTGGCCCGGTTCAGCCTGCAGCCGCCTAAGCAGGGAGGCAGGCGCTCCAACCCCATGCACAGGACTAAGGGTGTGTAAGGCAGAAGCATGGACAAGAACATCCAGGGAATTCCAGGGCAGCTTACGGAGGCCCAAACCGAGATAGGAAACCTCAGAAGGTTTCACCCACAGCCTGGCTGTCAACTACAGGGGTTACCACTTCCTAATTCCCCCCTCCCTGCTGTCTGCTGCATTAACGGGTACAACTCACTCGGCTGGCAGGCACCAAGTACGAGGAAAAATATTGTATTCCTTGGGGAAGAGTTTGAGCATGCGGTTAAGATTGCGAGCCAGCAAGTCCTTGCGGCAGATCTCCGTCATGCCTGGAAAATGGTTGATTTTCTGAAAGAGGCGCAGAAGAAAAAGAGCATCAGCAAAGGCGCAGCAGCCGCGATCCTCGAGCGTAGGGAGCCAGTGCATGGAGAAACAGCAAAGCCACCGGAGCAGGGGCCGGTGGCCGCCTCGAACGGCTGCTGAGGAACACATTATGCGAGAGCTGCTTTATCTGAACTACATCACTTTGACTTATCTGCCCATTCCACCCAGCCCTGCAGCTCTTCCTCCCTAGAACATCACTGTTTCAGGAAGGGAGCAGTTTTTCAGCAAGAAACATTTATTTTGTACTAAATTAAAAGGGTTGGCAGCTTTCCAATTCACGCTACTAACCGCCAAACTGTGGCTGGCGGCACCGTGTCAGAAACAGAAATGAAGAAAGGGCTTGTGAACCTCCCCACTCTGGACCTGCTGCAGACAAGGAGGGGATATAGGAGCTAATTCTGGACACTTGTTCCGTTCTGCAACATTAATGTTCCATTAATGACCCTCTGTCTCATCCTCCTTTCCAAGCTCTTCCCGCTGGGCTCCCTTTCCATGGAGGGGTATTTACCTGAAACCGCTTCATCTCCATGACACGCTCCAGAGAGACCGAGTAGTCCGTCCAATATATTGTCCACTCCTCATTTTCTCCCACTTCTTTCAGCCCGCAGTTTTGTGCAGCTCGCCGCACTGCACCAAAAAGAGCGGATCAGAAAGGGCACCCCGGGGCAACCCCAGGGGTTGTTTCACCTGCAAAGTGACAGGGGACAGGACCGTGCAGCGAGCCCCCCTCTTCCGCTCTCATGGATGGAAGGACACTGGGACCCTGAGGGGACACGACCTTAAGCTGGCTAC